TGTACTATGTATTGTGTAATGTATTGAAATACATGTTGCAGCTTTATAATTAAATATGAGACAAGGGAATATGGGAATATTTAAGAATCTAGAATTTGCCTAAAAATTTACAGATGTAACCGAGTATTTACAGTTGCTTGTACAAAGTTTCTCCTTGCAATGTTTAACTTGCAACATTAGATTGATTACCGAATTCAATTTCTGTAATAAACGAATCATGAAATTATTCACGTACGGTAAAAAAAAAAATAATAAAAAATAAATTAAAATATAAAATATATACGAACAAATTAGAAAATTATATATTACATGAGAAGGTTTTGCATCAGTCATCTCCGAATTAGTACTCTTTTATTATCATCCGAGTAAAAATTAAATAACAATTACATTCGATTAACGACTGGACTTTGTGCGAATTTTGGAGACAGAATTCTGCTTGATGACAAAAACGTAAAAAATGAAGTGAAAAATTTTAATTTAAAGCAGATGGGGAAAATAAACAAGACATCATTTGGTTTAATTGCACATGTTACACAAATACAATGAAAAAGTTATAATAAAATAGAGTATTTATAATAAAAGAAAAAAGAGAACGAAAAACATCATTTGGTTTGACAATCACATATATTACACAAACACAATACAGTAATTATAATAAAATAGAATGACGCAATAACGCTTATAATAAAGTATTTCTAATATAATATAACGAATCCAATAAAGAATCATAATCCCGACAAATATACATATTACGTTCGTTATATCCTTATGTAATGTATGTGTCAATCCGCAGCTTCAAGAAGTTATATATATGATGATTTAATTCAATCTTGTTTATATCAGCTGAATTTAGACATATCCATTGGAATTAGGTGTAAATATGGACATGCTGGTGTCATGCGCAATGAGTGAATGATACACTACTTTTGACATAGATAAGGAAATGCGCATCTTAATCTTGTGCAAGCCGAATTTATATTTGACGCTATCTTTAAGCGCAATTTTCTCTGAACTTACATACGGAGAAGTGACTGTAACAAAGAAAAAGTAAGCAACAGTTAGAAAGATTGACTGACGTGAATGGGACATTTAGTGAACGAAAAAAGTTAAATAAAATAATCACCTATACATAGTCGATGGATGTATATACGAGCATTTATTACCAGCTTTGCAATATGACCAGTATTTACATTCCTGCCTGATCTTATTTTTCACGCCTGTCCTGGTCGCTACAAATTTACCAGGAAATGTTCTGTAGAAAAAAGTGCAGAAAAAAATAAACACTAGTTAGAAAGTTTGAATGACAGTGAATGAGAAAAATTAGATAAAATATTAACCTATTTATGTATTTGACCATCGTCGTTATCTTGTCTGTTTGCAGATTTTCATTTAATCCTTCAGTTTCAGTTAGCTGGTTCAATCGATTCATTAATGTTTTGAATGTTTGCTTTAGTGAACGGACTATATTTAGTATCATATATGATCAGACTCAATTTTCTTTTTTTCACTGGCAACTCAGTTTTTTCAGTATTTCGATTTCTTTTCTCTTTTACATTTGTGTCACTCTCGATAATTATAATATTTGGTGAATCTACAAATCAACGTTAAATATATGTTAGAGAAAGAAAAGATGGATGAAAAATAAAAAAAGAAAAATGAAATAACTGCATTGACGTTTCTAAGATCAATCTTGAAATAAATATATCTAATTCGATTTTTATTCCCTGCATTTTATTCGAATTCAAATGAAAAATTTTGACGTTTCGTATAAGAGTCGAATACTCGATCTTCACTACGTCATATTTCCAAACACAAATACTAAATGAGATGAGTAATTTTCTCAACCACCAGCTCTGTATTTTAAAATGACCTATAGCCATTGAAATTCCTTCCCTTATTTTCGAGAGCCAATCCTGCAAGATATTTTCCATTTTCTTATAGTTCGAAAATCGGAGCGTTCCAGGAAGTTACGAATCTCGACGATTTTGGGGATAGTCAATATTGATATAAACTCAATAACATTAATGTTATATAAAAATTATATTTACAATAATAATAATAACAACAACAACAACAATAATAATAATTAATTTTCAGTATATTAATGTTCAGTAGTATAGTCGTATATACTATAAATCATGTGGAATTTAATATTGAATCTCAAATAAATTTCAGGTTTCGGATACTAAAATTACAGGCGCCCACGTATAATATTTATCTGTCGAGCAAATTTTTGGAGCTTTATCCATTCAAAGTACACGTTGTAGCTTAATAATTTCAGTATTAATTTCAGAGCCGACTAACCCTTGCATCTTCACTACATTGAAATTTTCTCGCCATGCATGAGAGAACGAGCCGCCAATTAGCTGGCGGTTTTGAGGTAAGTCATATTTCTAAGTTCTGTTTTATGTTTCTATATGTATATAAATTAAAATGTAAGACGTATAAAGCATTAAAACGACAATAATAACGTATACATTACCGTAAATGCACATTTATAAGGAGAATTTACATATATGATACCAATAGTTTTTTGCAAATACCAGAAATTAAGGTTAAGCTTCATAAGCCTATACGGTTATAGGTATATGAAGAAAAATGTTATTCAGAATCTCCTGGACAACAATGGATTTTGTATCAACGACGTCCTTATACCATCCTTATACCAGACCTTATACACTCACCAGTAACAATTAATGAAGTCAGCTCCACTCTTATATTAATTAAAAATTCCACTCTTGATCCAGATAATATGCCAAATTCATTGTTCTCAAATTTAATTCTCCCAGTACTTGGAATTAAATAACTGCTCAATTGTATTTGGATTCATAAAGTCTTCCTTGATAACTGGTGTAAAGCAGTAATAATCCCAATCCTTAAGTTAAGAATGTACAAAATAAATTTATAAAGAACATGGACAACTGTTCTTTTGAATGGAAAACATATCGAAGGAAGTGGAAGTAAGGTGAATAATTTAAACACACATAAACAAAGAGAATTGGTACTTAGAGCACTATGATGTATGTAAAGGCCGATTGAACAACCTCTTCATAGTGTAATGGTCTAATGTCGGCAACACATTTAACTAATAATTTAACCACTAGTTAGAAGTAATTAAAATTAGTAATTAGAAAATTAATTATTAGAAAACTAACAATTTAACAACATCTTATGAAAAATACATATGTGAAATATTGTTTCAAAAACGTTTAAGTGTTAGGTATAAAAAATATATTATAAAAAATATAGGCATCTAAAAATTTAGGTATTTAAAATTATAAGCATTTAAAAATTTTAATATAATCTTCACAGACAAGGTATTCATATCTTCATAGTGACTTTATAATCTTCATAGTGACTATAAAATCAAACATATACTATTATTACATGTACCTCTCTATATCTTTTTATTATTCTATTAAAATAAATGGGACATATAAATTTTGCTTATTTGGGATGCATTTTACTCCTCTTCTTCATCACACATCACTGATTCTTTGTGATTCTTTGTCTAATATGTATTACTAAGCTCTAAACAAACATGCCAATACGTGGAAATTCATATGCTGTTTCAACCTTCAATTATTACTATAGTATACATCACGCGTCGTATTAGAAAGTATAAACAGTCGAGTTACAATATACTAATTTATCAAAAATGAAATGTTTCATTAGCAATGCAGAGTAATAATAACGAAATTACACGAGTTTTTATGTATTTGCAATGATTATGATAGTTTAATAGAATTCTTAATGAAGCAGAAAGTAATTCAGAATGAGTTATATAAAATGTAAAAAAGAAATAACTTAAATGATTAATGTTTCAGTATTTCAACATATTTTAAAAGGAATCGTAATAAAAAATATATAAAAATGTAGATGTATGTTAAAAATTAGTGTATTGCATAATATTTGGTTTAGGTTAGGTTTAGGTTAGGTTTAGGTTATGCACGCACACAAATTCAAAATATCTGTCGATATTTATATTTCCACTAACCCGATAAAACTTTTTAATGCAAAAATTACAAATTTCATCAATGTTATTGATTATGCAAGCTATGTATTATGGATAGAAAAACATTCGGTTCAAAAAGGTAGTAACAACAAAGTTATAGAAATTGACGAGGGAAAAATTGGCAAATGAAAGTACAAGAGCCGACTGTAACTAGACAATGAGTGTCCGAATGAATACGACACAGTAAACAATTTTTTATCATTCCAAACATGGATTAGATCAAAAATCAACAATCGTATCAGTTGCTGGAAAGTATATAAAATTGTTTGTTGCATGAAGATCGCAAACATTTAAAGGTTAATAAAATAAACTTTTTTGATTCGGATTCAAGTGCTAAAATATGGAAAAAATTCGGTAAGAAAATAATGTTGCACGCTATGGAACACGAATGTTATATTATATTACAGCGGAGTTTTTCTTTCAAAATAAATGATTTTGATAATCATATAATTGTATTTCTTCATGTAATCGCGGAAATATTTCCAATTACTGATTCAATTGAAATTCAATAAATCATTAAAATTCGTATAATACATATAAATAAAACATATAATATAAAATACATATAAATAAAAGAGTCATATGTATACATCTAATATTCATTACATTGCATTATTTTAGAAATTCAAAGTTATTAGTTTTATCTTTGCGTTATCAGTTGTAAATTACAATCCGCGTACACAATAATAAATTGGTATCTTTCGCCTTATTATTATTAATCCTTTGTTTGAGAGTGACTCCACATCAGTTTTTATTACAGGAACTCTTATTGAGTCACACTCGATATTTTTAAATTGCCAAAAAACGAAAAATAATTGAAAAATAGTTTGGAGTGCAAAGGCTTAAATTGATAAATCTATTATATACTAAACATAAATATGTAATACCGTACGTTTTACTGACAAATCCTCCTGCAGAAAACAAATTTCAAGAATAATTATCATCATGTACGAAAACATTACATCGTAAAAAAAAAATTAGAGAAACGGAAATCAAGTGACGATGTTATCATATGATATTTCAAATAAGTACTACTCCATCGAAATTCCTATCTATTACTATCTACAAATTTGAAAGCAGTAGCAATCGCATCATCATTTCCACAAAAAATCCACATATAAAAAAAATCAATCTACAAAGTTATAAAACTCTCCGTAATTACCGAATTATTGAATTTATATTATACAGTATATAATCGGGAAGTTTATAAATTAAAATAATAAGCTAATAAGATTGTAATTATTTTTTTTTTTTATAGATAAGTGAAAATTTTAACGAATTTGAAGGAGCAGAAGTATTCTTGAATTCTTCATCAGCGTGTCTTCTTCATTTAAAAAGACGAGAAACAAAGAGATGATATAGCAAAATAGCGAAATCCCATCAGCACGTGGTTTTGGTGGCTTTATACTTCCTTCCACGCGATCCTCTTCTTTCCTTGTTGTCTTTTTTCTTCTTTTCTTTCTTTTTTTAGTTCTTCGTTCTTTTGTGATGAAGGGTAGAGACAAACATTTTTCGCTCGTCCATGAAAGTTGCAACGACTCAAGAGTTTAAACCAACCCTTAAAGATGTTGCTCTTGATGAGTCATCTTCAACTAGGGAGGCAGTGTATAAGTCCGCCAGTGGGTGTTGGCCGCGCAACGTAGTGATCACCTGAGGTTAAGCGACCACCGTTGCGGAACAACCCTTCTAGGATTGGTTTCCGTTTCCATACCCAACTAAAGTCCCCCTCCCCCCGTCCCTCAACAACTAAGCGTCTGGAGTACGTGTAGAGGTTGCCACCATCATCATCAGTGTAGCGACAGCTACGCCAGCGACATCTGTTTCTCGGCAATATCGAAGAGTC